TGGAAAAATACTTGAAGCTGAATGAGACGGACTTTTGCCAGGACTTCAGCTGTGCTGTGTCCCAGACTTCTTGGGCCACCACGAGAGGCCTTTGCTTTGTTGCGTTTCTTAATGAGCGGACCACAGTGCTGGGTCCCACTCGTGACTGGAGGATCCTGCATGCAAAGCTTCGGAACATACTTGGATTGCTCCAGCAGGCAAACTCTGCTGGGGGCCCAGGCCTCCTTTCTGGGTGCTGTAACCAGTGATTTAGAAATGCCTTACCCATCACCTACAAATCTTTCAACTTGTTTTATTAAAATTGTGTGTGTGTGTGTGTGTCTGTCTGTCTGTCTGTCTCTGTCTCTTTATCTGTCTTTCTGCCTGTAGATGCCAAGGGTCGATGTCACGGGTCCTCCTTCAGCACTCTCCCACTTTCCATTTTGACAGAGTCTCCCAGTGATTCGGCTACACTGGCTGGCCTGTAAATCCCAGGATCCTCCTGTCTCTGCCTCCCAAGCACTGGGATTACAGGTGTGCACTGCCCCACTTTTTAGATGGTGCTGGGGATCCTTACACAGCAAGCACTTTGGTGACTGGGCCATCTCCCCAACCCCACAAACCTTTTTATGTGATTGTTTAGTAAGGCGGCTCATCCCAGGCCATCTGTGTGGCTGTTACAGTTGCCCTGGTGTCTATGCTAACCTTAATGAGCAGCCTAGCCCATACTGGTCCAACTGACCTAGAATTCCATCAGTGACTGAGCATATTACTTTTATGAATATGATTCACATTGAAAAGCTGCAGCAAATTCTTCTAAGAAAAAACAGGCAGTTGGAGAAGTTTAGGCAACTGTTCTTGCTGGTCTTTGTCATAAACGATTCTCTGTCACTGCTAGGTTTTGGGGAGTTGTAGTGGAGCCCAATGCACTACACACTAAAACGCTGTTAAAGTTAGTTTGTTCTTTTATGACTCTGAAGGCATGGCTTGAGAGCGATCCTTATTATGTTATGGCTTAGCACTAGTGGAGAGGGTTCAAACTTGAACAAAATGAAAAAGTCCCTCTTCCCTACCACTGCCTTCATCTTTAAAAATAATGTGCTCAACATACAGGTAAAAAATACTACATCACAGAAAACAAAACCCCCTGTGCCGTGTATGTGATTCGGCCTTGGTGATCACTAGTACTTCTGTTATTTATTCTCCATGCTTATATTAGCATCTTCATTATCTTTATAACATAACATCGTGCTGTGTGTGAAGGAGGGGTAGGTGTGTATGTGTGGACACACAGGTACCTCCTGTCTCTGCCTCCCCAGTCCTGGGATTACCTGTATGCACTACCATACCCAGCTTGCTTTAAGGTGGGTGCTGGAGGTTGGACTCAGGTCCTCTGGGTTGGCAAGCGCTTTATTTACTGATTTGTCTCCCCAGTCCCACATTACGCTATATTTTCTTTTATAAAATTCAAAAATGGAGCTTGAGAGATGCTCAGTGATTAAGAGCATTTATTGCTCTTGCAAAGGACCAGGGTTCAGTTCCCAGTACTGACATCTACCTGTAACTCCAGTTGCAGGGGATCAGATGTCCTCTCCTGGCCTCTGCCAGCACCTGCATGCATGTGGTACACACAAGCTCATGCAGGCACACACATGTGCACATAAATAAAAATAAATGCATCTTAAAACAGAAAAAAATTCAAAAGCTTTTTGTTCATTGTTATAGTAATGTACATGTAGCAAAACTCATTTTATAAATTCAGAAAATGGTTTCATTCTTAGAACTGTCCTGGACAAGACATACGTAACGCAGTTCTACCCCTAAGGAAGACCTCTCTTGCCCTGAGTCAGTGCTCCCCTCGAGGAAGCAGCCACTTTCTGCTTTTGAGCACTAAGTTGGCGTCAGCATGTACGTACACTAGTCCGTCTGGCTTCCTTGACAGAGGGCTTCTGAGAGTCATATCGTTGTTGTGCTGTTGTTTGATTTGAGTCCCTTTTATTTCTGAGAAGCAGTGGACTCCCACAGTTTGTTCAGAGTTTCTATTGACTGAATGAGTTGGCTGCTGGCTTTCTGTATTCTGCATAAAGCAGCTATGAATCGTGCAGGGGTTTTATAATAAACAAAGGGCTCATTTCTCTGAGGTGAACACTTGGGATTGGAATTGCCAGACAAAGGTGCACATACAGTTTCTGAAATGGTTGTGTCACACGCTGCTCCCACCGGCAGTTCACAGACATTCCCTTTGCATCACTATTTAGCATCCCAGGACTTTGTAACTTGTAGTCCTTGTAATGGAGGCACACAGGTGACTTTACAATCTTCATCTTGCAGTTATCTTGTTACTAATGATATTTAGCATTTGTTTATTTTTTATTTGCCGTTTGTGATAGTCCTGACCACATAAAGTATGAAAAGATGTAGTTGAGGGTACTGCTCAGTTGGTAGCGTGCATAAGCCCTGGGTTGGATCCACACAGATGTGGTAGCAAACATCTGTAATCCCAACACTCTTGTGGTTGATACTGGAGGATCAGAAGTTCAGGGTTATCCTCAGCTGCATAGGAAGTTTGATGTCAGCCTAGGGAAAAAAACCCAACAAAAAAAAACGGGCTGGAGAGTTGACTCAACAGTTACGAGTACTGGCTGCTCTTCTAGAGGACCTAGGTTCAATTCTAAGCACCCACATGGTGACTAACAGCGGTCTGTAACTCCAGTCCCAGGGGCTCCAACATCGTCTTTAGGCCTCTTCAGACTTTGCATGACATGGGTCCACTTATATACATGCAAGCAAAGCATTCAGACACATAAAAAATAGAAATAAATTTTTAAAGAACCCCAAAAAACCAACAATAAAGGAGAAGAAGGAAACCAAAATCCACAGTAGTGCTGTGGGAACCCCCAGTCCCGTCTCTACGATCCTGTATTTAACAGCTGAGCGTATTCCATTCTGAGCATATTTCCTAATTTATTTAAACAGTCTTCAAATGATGGACATTATATCACTAATATGTTTTTACTATTGCAGACAAGGCTGCAGCAGGCATCAGTGAATATATGTGTTATTGCTCCTGTCAGCCGGATCACTAGAAGTGGGCTGCTGGTGTTGAAGGATTTGAATATTTTTATTTGTAAGAGGCATCGAGAATAAATACCTGAATACATATTGCTGTTAGCCTCTAAAAAGCGTTGTTTTCATTTTATCCCCATATCAGTGGTTTGACCTCTTCACATCTTGTCATCTTTAGGCAACAATTTTACTTTAGGCAAAAATTTACAAAAAAGTATTTTTGTTTAGCCTTGTTTTAATTTTACCACACTGGAGCTTCAACTCAGTGCCTGGCACATGCTGCGGGTAGTCTGCTGAGCTACCTCCCAGCCCTGTCTTATTTTAGTTTACATGTTTTTATATATTAACAAAGTTGACTACTTTTAAAAATTATATTTCCCAAGTTTTGTTTGTTAAATTAGCTTATTCACGTACCCTGAGGTTCTGAATGAATCTGTTATCATTTGAACTCTCTGCTTATATGAAATATAGCAAAACAGAAAAATTTAAGAGCTCTCCCTCTCTCCCAGTGATTTTGTAAAAAAGGTATCTATGAACCAAACATTTAAAGTGCTTAAGCTATGAATTTCAAGCTCCTAGTGTGCAGTTTATTTGTGTCAATTCCCTGTAATTCTGTCTGTCATGGGATGGATAATTTGAAAATAGTTTGAATTAATTTATATGTGCTATAAATAACAAATTTCTTTTTCATGGTTAAGTGCTTTCATGCTATAAAGTTATTTTCTTGGGGCTGGAGAGAAAGCTCAGTGGTTACGAACACTTGCTGTTCTTCCGGAGGATCCAGAGTCAATTCCCAGCATCCACATGGTGGCTAACAACTGTCTGTAATTCTAGTTTCAGGGGATCCGACACCCTCTTCTTGCCTCTGCAGGGCATTTCACACATGTGGTATATTTACATACATGCAGGCAAAAAACACTCATACATAAAATAAAAATATTTTTAAGTTGTTTTCTGCTCCTAATATATAAAGAAATAATAACTATGAAAAGTATGATTATAATGTTTTAAAATTAACATTTTTGAGGAGAGTTCTATTAAGAAATGTTGGAAGACAATAATCCACATCTCAGTTCTCATTAATGAAGCACCCTCAAGCAACAGAGGGCCAGGAACACAAAGGTCACAAATAGCCAAAGTAGAGACGAAGAGTCTGCAGAATGCTGGTCCTTGGACAGGACTCCTGTATTAAACCACACTCACCCAGGGCTCAGGGACCATTGTGGAAGAGGGGGCGGAAAGACTGTAAGAGCCAGGGAGGAGGTGCATGACCATATGGAAATAGAGTCCTACAGGCTCCTGGGACCTGCTCCTATAAATCTACAGCAATGGTGTCAGCACGCACAGGACCCATGCAAACTCAGACAAAAACCCAGGACTGGGGGAATGGACAGCAGACCCCAATCTTAGCTGAAGAAATACTGGCAAGTGATTTCTGCTGGGTGAGGAAGAGCTGATCTTCCTAAAGTGAGAGACAGCTTTGTTTCACCCGTTTTGTGTTGTGGGAAACATGGAGTTCACTAACCCAGTGTAAGGTGTGTTCACTTGCATTTGCCTGTTCACAGCACTGGAAAGCCCTGATCAGATCCAGAACAGTTTTCTTTATTGTCTTTTCCAAACAAAAACCAACAAGCAGGTCCGCGGCTCTGCTGAGCTCTGATGAAAACCCCTTGGCTTTGCTGTCTCACCTCGTTCACCTGTCAAATCCCTGGCTTCCTCATTTGTTAATGTGAGTTATGCTGCCTTCCCGTTGTGAAGGCTAAATCAGAAAATACGTTTAATATGCTTAGACTACCTGGGAAACATTTTATCGCTCACTTTTATTAGAAAACCTTCATGAATATTCATATATTCGTGGGTGGATGCCAGGATTAAAATCACCCCTTTGTGAACTTACAGTTAAGCATGAGGAAGAATTTTCTGATCTGATTGTCACGTGTTTACCTTGTGACTAGGAAGCTGACGAAGGTGTTACGGACCTACGTGGACAATGCCGAGAAGCCGGGAGTCAATGAGCAGCTGTACAGAGCCATAAAAGCCTTGGAGTACATCTTCAAGTTCATCGTGCGCTCACGGATACTGTTCAATCAGTAGGTGTCCAGCTAGGGCTGTGAGGAACCCTTCGCCTCCCTCGGTTCTCTTTTCTTCCTTCCCTTTCTCTCCCCTTTCACATCCTCCTCTACCTTCTTCTCCGCCTTCTGCCATGGCCCAGCGCTGACAGGAAGGTGTGGGGTGAATTTGCCCACGCTGACTGTGACAGCTTCCTGAGCAGTCCATGCAGGCTCTGATGAGACTCCTCTGTTGCAGAGGCTCAGATGTGTATGCAAGCCAAACACCGTCTGCTGCCAGCCTAAGTAATGCTTCTCACCAACGTTGGGCTTCCACCAAGGGCATGGGAGTGCTTCTCAGTCAGTACGTCTTCATAGCACAAAAAGCCCCACAGGAGCAAACATAAAACGAAACCAGCAACAAGAACAAAACACAGAAATCGCCTCACTTGGGAGGATTCTGGGGCTCCGGCTCCTTTATTCCTTCAAGCTCAATGTTGTGCTCTAGAGCTAAGGGAGGACTCTCAGGAATTCCACTTAGTAACATGTTTTGTGATGACTCGTTCATCTTAGGACTTCTTTTTGAACTTGGCGATAGTTAATGATTTCATTATTTTAGGGAATGTTAGTATTTTATATATTGATGTTTATAACAGACACAGCTGTGTTGTTAAAAAGAAATTGCTTTGTGGTATCCCACAATATTTCACACTGGTGGGGATGGGGAAATGGAAAGATTGGGTATAGGGCCACGGAGTGGACTCTGCTTGTCTTTGGAGGGTATCATTTTGTGGGAGACCTACCATGAGTGTTGGGCATGTTGGTTATTCTAGTTTGATGCTCTTCTTGTGGTGAGTTCTACAAAGATGGGCTTTGTGAACCCCATCAGTAAGAGAACACATTGCCTTTGCAAAGCTCACCATACATTATCACTGAAAATGGTGGCTAAAGTTGGTAGGACCCACATTCCCACCTTCCCATTTCCTCTGTCTTCACCTGCCTCAAGGAAGTACGTTAGGAAGCACCAAGAAGAAAGTGAGAGAAGTCAAACTCCAACCTCAGGTACGCCACGGTAGACAAGAAAGTCACAGCAGCGTGCTCTTGACAACGGGCAGACCAGTAGTGGGCAGAAACAAGGCTGTGACCACCGGTGACTGGGGCGACCATCCTTATGCTGTTGGGCACAGGGTTGAGCATGCTTGTGTTCACTCTGGGTTTCCCATGGTTAAGCCAGTTGTCTATATACTGCCGGTTTTATATGGTTGGAGGGCAGCAGGCTTTATCCTTGATGAGCATCTCAAAGGTAGGGTCTTTCACTTTGCTTGTCATGGATACGTGTGACACCTCAAGTGGACGGGCGCTTTCTCTTCCTAAGCGTCTAAGTGTCTGAGAACGACTAGGCAAACTGAGGTGCGCTTTTCCATAGTTTGATTTTACTCAGTCGTGTTAATCATGTGTCATGAACTCTTTGACTCTGAATGTTGCTTTTTATTTTTCCCATTGCTCAAAAATTTTTTAAAAAATATTTGTTTCTGTTCATCTGCCTATTTGTGTGTGCGCATGTGCTGTGCAGGCTCTGGGGATTTTGCTTAGATCCATCAGCCTTGGCAGCAAGAGTCCTTACCTACTGAGCCATCTCACTGAGCCCAATTTTTTCCTATTACTTTTAAGTCTCTCATTTGGCTAAGGTAGGGGATGAACTGAAAGACTAGGTGATGTGGATTTTATCATGATTTATTTAAATCTGGTCAGGGATTTGATGGTATGTGTCTCTCTCCAAGTACAGGGTGATTTCCTCATCCCAAAAACTCACCCTGAAAAGAAACATGCAACAGTGGCCTGTGTATTTGGGTTGTTAGAGCAGAGGATGAATCTTAGATACCACAGTGCCTCAGTCCACCGAGGTCGGTGAGCTCACCTTGCTGTGCCAGCAACAAATACTCTCTTTCTTTAGTCCCTTCCGAGTATAGAACTGAGAGGTTCAAGTATAAGATCTTAGAACCATGGTTGGTCACATGTGTTCAGTTCAGTCATTCTTATGGTATTAGAAATATGATTAAAAACCACTTAGGTGGCTTCCCCAGATGAGGCGTATACCCCTTTTCATAACGTCCAGCTGTGAACGTGAGTGTAAAACTCACATTCACTTGTCTCCTGTTTCCAGCATCCTGTGTCTTTCTGCCCCAGCATCCTTGGACACTGGCTCTTTTTCTGATGCCAAAGTGGCTCCCCTCCCCCATGGCATGATGTCTGCAGTTTAAGAAGTAAGGACAGACTAGGGGAAACAGTTTTGCCAGTCATTCTTAGAAGGCGCCTCCGCCACCCTCAAAATGCTGTGAGCTTTCATGTCATTGGTAGAACTTTGTCACATGACCACCCTGACTTCATGGAAGATGGAAAATGAGTGCTATTTACTATTTATTTTAAATATATGTATTTTATGTGTATGAGTGTATTACCTGCATGTATATAAGCGCACCAGTGTTGTGCAGTGCCTACGGAGGTCAGAAGAGGGTGTTGGATCCCCTGGAACTGGAGTTACAGATGGTTGTTAGCCACTACATCTGGGAACCGAACCTGCGTCTGCTGCAAGTAACTGCCGAGCCACCTCTCCAGCCCCAGGGACTGAACTTTAGCAGAGTTTATTGGTAGTGTAAACACAGAGTTGCTAGGATAAGCGTGCACTGGATGAATGGTCGCCATTCTTGTCCTGTTCCTTCGATCCAGAATGTCTGTTACTTTGGTTTCTCAGCAGTCCCTAGCTATCTTTGGTGATGATTATTTTTACACACGCTCTGTAGAACTTTGATTTCTCATTATTTTGTAAGGTAGTCTTAGGAGAGTCGTGTCACCAGTATCCTTGATTTTAAGTCATTGGGCTCTAGGTGACTGATAGATGGTCAGCCCCAGTGGACTGCATAGAAATGGGTAAAACCCTCAGCTGACCTTTGTATGTGACTCAGGAAGCACTCTGTTTAGTACCCAGGAATGCTTTCTTTCCTGTTCTGGGCTGGCATTCTGGCTCTCTCCCAGTTAGGTATCGGCAAGAGCCAGCCAGATCCCTAACTGAGTTTCTTTGCTAGAGTAACAAGCTTGTCCAAAGAGCCAAAGTTGTTCAGGACACAGACTGAGTGTCAGCAATCTCTAAGAGGCAGTGAGTTGTCCTGTGCCTCCCAAGGTTCTTTTCTGAATGTATCTGACCTTTCTGATTGACACTTGGGGATCATGGTGAGGTGATACCATCCTTTCCCTCACTGTCTTTCTTAGCTACCCCCCTTTCCATATATACGTAGGTAAGAAGCTCTTGAGCCCTGTCTGTACCCAGATTTTCTCTACTTTCTGAATATTCCTGTGTAGATTTTGGCTTTTTCCAAGGATTTTGTAGAATGGAAGGACATGCATCCACTTCAGAATGTAAAGTTATTTGTAGCCACATTGTGTGGCTGTAATAATTACTTCTTTACTGGTCTTTTTGAGGCAGCCTCTCCCTGTGGCCCCAGCTAGCCTGAGACTTGCTGTATGGACCAGGCTGACCTTGATCGCTCAGAGATCCGCCTGCCTCTGCCTCTTGAGTGCTGGGATTAAAGGCGTGCACCACTGTGCCTGGTTGGTAAAAACTTCTTTAACTTATATCTATGGATGAAAACTTTTGAGATGTTTTAGTGTCTTTAGGATTACAGGGGAAGGAAAAAAATAAAATAAAACCCTCCTGACCTTAAACTCAGGGCGGATTCTGTCACCTTTAGTTTCCATCCCTTGCCATCCTGCTGATGTCATTCCCTAACACTTACCTTCAGTTTCAAGGGTCTGATTGGAGGTGGAAATCTTACTTCTCTTTTGAGTCAGTTACTTGAAGAAGCAACAGTCCTGTGTCTCACATGGATATCTAGAACGTTTGATCGCAACAAGCTCTAAGCAGGTCTCATGTGGGGTGTTTGCAGAGACAGGGAGAAAAACAACCAGGATTCTCATTTTCTTACCTACAAATACATTCATTACCTTGGGAGGAAAACAATTGTCCTCACAGCTGGAATTGGCAAGTGTGTTTTGCTTTTTGCAGTTGGAACAAACTTTTGAGACCTATTATTTTTCTCCTTTCAAAATGGTCTGCTGTGTTTGTAAGTGGAATGTAGTTGCTGTGTTAAGTTCTGGGATAATTGAGAGTAATTGTTCTTCCAAAGAACAAAGAGGTGAAACTTGGGAGATGACACTATTGACGCTTTACCCGTGTTATCTTACTTAGTCTTTTTTGCTGTTCGTTCCACACTTTTTTGTTCTATTTAGAGACCTCATTTTGTCTTGAAATGAGAACAGCAGTTTAAGAGCTCTGGCCTAAAGAAATTTAGTTCATGGTAAACTCACTGAAAGACTCCAGGCAGCCTGCAGCTCGGCTCTGCTGTGTTTTCCCCCCCTTTCTGTGTGGGAGGATTGCATTAACTAGAAAACCCAAAGCAGACACATCCTGCATCAGACCTGCTGAATTCAGTGTCTCCATCTAGTTATGCTTGGCCCCTTCACGTCTTTCCTGTGCTTTGTAAGAGTTTCTGCTTGTCATCTCCTGTTAGCTTTGTGAATAATTAGTTATTGATCATGAATAAGTTATGCCGATCTGTCTTTCTGCTCTGTAGAAAGTACTTAATAGACAAAGACCCTGTCATCGTTCATTGGTAATGAAGTCTTATTAAAAGTGGAGCGAGGAATGGGGTCTTACTCATCAATTTATTTACTGATAAGATCCTAGGTTCTTTCTACCCATCCCTTCCTCCATCTCAAAGTAGGTCACAGGAGCGACTCTTCCTTTGATTTCACAAAACCATGATGTAAAAGTTCTAGAGGCTTCTCTAGAGATCTTTGATTACAGAAGGGTTCTTCAAAGGAGTCACCGTGCAGTGCTAACCATTCACGTGTCCTAAACATGCTGATTGTCAACAGAGAAGCCGAATATCGAGGTTTGATCTCTGATAGGTTCTCTGTAGAGTTTCAAGTATGTTAACGTGTCATTCGTTGTACGGTGAAGATTTTGAAATGGTTATTACTAGCCT